CAAAAATGGACAGAGAAAAAATACATAGAGAAAAAGAGAGAGAAAGACATAGAGAGAAATAGAGAGAAAACGAGAAAAAAACAGAGAGAAATAGAGATAGAAAGAGACAGAGAAAGAGACAGCAAGAGAGAGAGGGAGGAAGAGAGAGAAAGAGAGAGAGAGAGAAACAGTTGGGTGCAGAATGGGTGGTAGAATTTTCGCGTGTTCCTCGAGGTTAACGGAGACACTCGGGAAATTTATACTTCGGCAATAGTAATCTCGCAACGGTGAAGAAGGAGAGGGAGAGGAAAGGTTTGTTCTGGAGAGGAAGAGAAGGCCAGATGCCCGTTGGTCCAGATCGATAGGGCATTAAAACCAGGGACGAAGGGTGTTCGCTCTGCAAAATCCCAGAACCAAAAGGGTCCACACACTAACCATCCTCCTGCAGCAAACTATACAGTTCCAAATATCCTCATAGCCATAAACGAAGGTAAAGCCTCCTTTTACTCGGCCGTACATCTATCTCCACTCGTGATTTATGTCACGGATTTTTGGCGAAGGCCACTATAAAAAGCGCGCGCCACCCATTCGCAGAAAACGAGGCTGTAAACTTTCTAATTCACCAAATCCCTCCACCAAATCAAATTCACTATCTTCCCCCGTCTCTAATGCCCTTCAAGATCAGAATTTTTTATCTAAAAAAACTTTTTCGATTTTTCCTTCTTTTTTTTGTTTTGTTCTTTTTGATATATTTTGTTACTTTTTGGCATTTTTTTGTTCTATTTTTATTTTGTAAATTTTGTTATTTCTTGTTCTTTTTGTTATATTTTGTTATATTTTTGTTCCTTTGTTATTTTCAACATTTTGTAATTTTCTACTATATTTTGTTCTTTTTGTTCGTGCGTTGACGTAACTTTCACTTTCAATCCAAAAATATTTTTACTTACATTTTCACCAAAAAAATGTTCACTTACACGCGAAAAATAACCAATTACTTTTAATTTCACCCAAAAAATTTTACATTTAAATTACATCTAAAATACTTTCACTTTCAAACAAAAAATTTTCATCTCCACTCAAAAAAATCTCAGTTTCAATTTCACCAAAAAACAATTCACACTTTCAATAAAAAAAAAAATGTTTGGTGCAATTGCGTAAGTGGAAATTTTTTCATAGAAAGTGAAAATTAAAATATTTTGAGTGAAAGTGAAAATATTTTCGGTGAAATTAAAAGTAAAAAGTTTTTCATTAAAAGTGAAAATACATTTTGCGAAATGAAAAGTCAAAATATTTTTGGATGAATGTGAAAGTGAAAATTTGTTGGCGAAACTGAAATTAAAATTTTTTCAGAAGAAAGTGAAAATTTTTTTGGTGGAAATTGTAAACGTGAAAATTTTTCGATAGAAATTGAAAGTATTTTGTATGAAATTGAAAGTGAAAATTTTTAATTGACCGTAAAAGTAAAGATTTTTTTTTTTGGTGAAAGTGAAAATATTTTGAGTGAAATTGAAAATTTTGTGATCAAAAGTAAGAATTTTTTTTAATGTAGGTACAAATTTTATGGATGACAGAGAAAATTTTTTGCGTTATAGTGAACATTTTTCGAGTGAAAGTGAAAATTTTTGCTTGAAAGTGAAAATTTATTGAGATGAATTGAAAGTAAAAATTTTTGAACTAAAAGTGAAAGCTAGAAGTAAATAAATGTATTAAATCAATTCAATTGATAAAATTTAACAAAGTGAAAATGAAAGTGAAAATGATACATTTTTTCATTTTTTTACATCAAACATCAATCAAAGTGAAAATGATAGTAAAAATGAAAAAACTATCAGTGAAAAGGAATGTGAAAATGAAAGTGAAAGTCGAAATGAAATTATATAATCGACCCCCTATTTTTATCTTTTTTAAATTTTTTTTCCTTTCTGTTCTCTCTTATTATCTTTTTGTTATTTTTTTTATCTTTTTTGATACTTTTTGTTATTTTTGGCTATATTTGGTTCATTTTCTTCTTTTGTTATACTTTTTGTTCTCTTTTAATATTTTTTGGTATGTTTTGTTTTTTTGAATTTTTAACACAAAAGAATCAAAAAAGGCAAAAAAAGAACAGAAAATATCAGAAAAGAACAAAAAGGAACAGAAAAGAACAAAAGAGAACAAAACAGATTTTTTTCTCTTTTGTTCTTCTCTGTTCTCTTTTGACCTTTTTTGTTTTTTTGTGTCCTTTTGTGTTTTCCTTTTTGCCTTTGTTGTCAAATAAAAATATTCTTGTTGCTCTTTTTGTTGAATAACAAATTATAAAAGGAAAAAAAACAAACTTTCCGTTACCGATCAATGGGGTTATTTTTTTTTTATTTTTGAGAGAGGGAGCGAGAGAGAGAGAGAGAGGGTAAAGTTGAAGAAACATAAACTCAATTTAAATTTGCATTTCAATGCAATTAGTATTCTGTGGACTGTCAAAGCGCCACAATAGGTACTTTTACCGCTTTGAGTTAGTAGTTCATGCAACATTACTGACTCTAAATTATTCTGAATTTTTTCCCTCCTTTTTTTTCCCACATTAAACTACTTTAGCCCGACGATTAGAGAATTGTTCCGGTAATTCGAATAATTGTCCCTCATCAATAGAATTAAATCATTAAATTTCGAGATGAATTAAAAATTGTCAAATATAGGTTTTCCTATGTGCGTTTTTGGTTCTCATCTACTTAAATAATAATTATGCTAATGTTAATATAATTAGTGATAAATAATCTAATTAAAAAATAATTATTTTAATTTATATGATTCAAAACAATTCAATTCAATTATAAATTTATAAATTTGTACATTTAATAAAATTAAAATAAATTTCTAAAATTAGTAATTAAAATTTCCTGATTATTTTTTCAAAAAAAAATTTTCTTTTCAGAACATAAATATTTTTGGTATTGAATGAAAAAATAGTTTTAATTAATAAGAGATTAAAAACGAATTCTATATGAAATATTTAAGGAATAAAAAAATAAATGTCGAACGATATAAAGTAATAAATAAAGAGACAAATAATTTTTTCTTTATAAATGAAGATATCGATGCTAAGTCATAAAGACGATTTCAAGTCAATATCAGAATTTTTCAAAATAGAACTGGTATTCAAATGCGATATTTAAGAACGTTGAACGTAAACGGTGGGACAATAGATATCCTGTGGTGATGGCTTGCATCAAGACGTCTTGTCCTGAAACGCTCTCTATAGATATATATAGTGGAGGCGAAGCTTTACAGGAATGATATTCGTTTTAATATCGAGGACTAAAATTGGGTTCAGGCTGCTTGCTTTGCAGTCTTCATAAAACTAAATTTGGAAAGGTGACGGATTTCTTATAGTGAGCGGATCAACTTTTCACTGCTATAAAAAAAAAACCAGAACAAAACACGTCCCTTATTTGATTATAAAAACCAAATCAGGGTTGAACTTCTATCATAAAATTATTACTTAGAAATTATTTAATGAATAATTTTACCTAAAAATTTTTAAATGAATTGAATTTTAAAAGAGTTGCGTTTACAATCTTTATAAATAGATGAACTTCAAAAGTTTCAATTTGACATTTTAGAAAATATCAATTTTTAATGAATTTAAATAGAAATTTTAAGAACCACTGATCGCAGAAATTCAATTATTTTCAAAAGTGATAAACCTCTTCGCATAAATTCAATATTATGTTCAAAATTTTTTTTAAATAAAATAAAATAAAAATAATAAAAATTAAAAATTCTATTTAAAAAAATTTTGACAAAATTCTTTACAAAATTTCGTTAATAAAATTGCAATTTTAATAAAATTTTTCTATACAATTCAATTATTTTCAATACAATTCTTCTTAAGAATTCAATTATTTTCACAAATAATACATTTTTTATGGGAATTCAATTATTTAAAAAAAATTTAATAAAATTCTTACTCTAGAAATCAATTATTTTCATAAATAATAAAATTTTTCTTGTAAATTCAATTATTTTAAAAAATTTTGATAATATGCCTTATAAATTTGAAAAATTATAATAAAATTGATCATTGAATACAATTATTTTCATAAAATGTAACATTCTTCCTAGGAATACAATTATTGTCAAAAATGTTTGAAAAAATCTTCGAAACAATTCAATTATTTTCGTAAAAAATAAAACTCTTTGAAGCAATTCAATTATTTAAAAAATATTAATAAAATTCTTCCCAAGAATTCAATTCTTTTCAAAAATAAACATCTTCACAGGAATTCAATTATTTAACATTTTTTTTTATTAATTCTTTGTCAGATATCTTTTTAATGAAATTTCTCGATGAAATTGAATTATTTTCAAAAATTTTTAAAGAATTCTGAAAAATTTAATTACTTAAAAACAATTTGAATAAAATTCTTCCTAAGTTAAGAATTCAATTATTTTCAAAAATAAACTTTTTTAAAAGAATTTAATTGTTTAAAAAAATTTTTTTTTAATTCTTTGGCAAATTTCAATTATTTTTAATTTTTTAATAAAATTTCTCGATAAAATTGAATTATTTTCAAAAAATTTTAAAAAAATTCTAAAAAATTCAATTATTTCAAAAAATTTGAATAAAATTCTTCACAAGAAGTTAATTATTTTCATAAATAATAATATTTTTCTCCGAAATTCAATTATTTTCACAAATAAAATTCTTCACAGGAATTCAATTCTTTAAAAAAATTTTTTAATAAAATTCGTTGTGTGAATTCAATTATTTTCATAAATAACAAAACTTATCGCAGAATTTAATTTATTTCTTATATAATTTTAAATAAAATGATAGAAAATTGCATTTATTCTTAAAATTATTTTTTTTAATTCGCCGAAAGAATTCAATTATTTTTAAAAATTTTGATAAAATTCTTCATAAAAATTTAATTTTAAGAAATATTCAATTATTTAATAAATTATTTATTTTTGTATTTAAATAAAAAAATTACTTTAAAAGGGGGGGGGGGTTTCAAATATATGCAAAAAATTCAACAACTTACCGCTTTTTTAACAAACGAAACGAAGCCATAACCTTTGGATTTCATGGTTTGTGCATCTCTAACTACTCTGCAGTCCCTGGAACAGAAAAAAAAGTTTGTTATAAATATTATAATTGGAAGAAAATTGTAAGTAATAAAAAATCCAATTTAAATTTAATTATATTTATAATTATAATTCTTATTTTATTATAATTAATTATAATTCTTTTGAAATAAAAAAATCAAATTTTTTTTTAATCATAAATATATTTTGAAAGAGTAAAAACTTTTCCAATTCCTAAATATCAATAAAATCGCAAAAAAGCTTCGTGAACCGTATTTTTGAATATTTATATTATTTATCATTCAATATACTTAGATACGAATCTAAAGTTAATCTGATTATTATAAAGAATCAGTGAAAGATTAACAATTGCCAGACCAAATGGAAAATAAATTGACTGTAATTTAATTTTGAAATGAAAATGTTTTTCCTAAGAGGGAGAAAGACTGATAGAGAGAGAGAGAGAGAGAAAAAGAGAAACAAGTTTCCAGGAGTTGAAATCGTAGGATACTTTTGCCGGTTTCTTCATTTTTTTTCCTTCTTTTTTTTGCGGTTACTTTCACGTAGTTGATCGCAATGTTCCTGTTTCTTTCGATTTTGCCAACTTTAATGCGTTTACCTCGCATCAACGAATTCTCTCTTATCGAAGAAACCATTCGCTTTACTTTCCTTGCCTATTTCTAAACTTTGTTGAGGCGGCTTCGCTCACTACACTCGTCAAGGATAAATATAAGAGGTTCTCGAAAAGTCTCGCGTGGTACGGCAACGTTTCTTAAATATCAAGTGGGGTCTACATATATAAAACTCGCTATATACACATTTATATACAACAAGCTTTATGTTTACTTTGAAGAAAAAAAAAGAAATTCCCAAGACGAAAAAGAAAATAACAAATAGTAACAAATAAGTCGAGAAATTGAAGAATTCGAAAACGAATTGAGTTTATTCTTGTTGAAATAATTAATTAACTAGCAAACGATTCTGTTTTTATTTTTTTATTATTTGTTTATTATTTTTATTATTTATTTTTTATCTATTTTGCATCGAAAACGAAAGTTTCGGGGTAAATGTGAATTATAGGAATAATAGTTAACTAAACTATGGGCAAAAACTTGAAAGCAATGGGAAAACGAGCAATGAATTTTTTTGTTTTAATAAAAAAACAAAAAATTTCTTTTTTCAACTATGGACCAAAACTTGTTAACAATGGGAAAGGAAACATTTTTTTTTTTAATCAAATTTACAAATTTTTGAAAATAAATTTTCATGTTTTAATTTTAATTGTTGGGAAAAAACTTGAAAACAGTGGGAAAATGCAAAATTCTTTTTCTCTTTGATGAAATTTTTCTCTCAAAAAGTTAAAAATAATGGAAAAGAAAAAAATTCTCCCCTTTAATGAAAATTTATCGTTTAATGAAAACAATTTATCTTTTTTTAACTGTGGACAAAAATTTGAAATCAATGGAGAAAGGAAAATTCTTTTTTTCAATGAAATTTACAGATTTAAGAAAAATTTTTTTTGTGACAAAAATCAAAATTCTTCCCGTTGATGGAATTTTTCGCTTTTATAACAAAATTTTTTTTTTGTTTCTAACTGTAGGCAAATACTTAAAAACACTAGAAAAAATAAATTTTTTTTTAAAGATAAATTTCCTTAACTTAGAATAAATAAAAAATAAATAAATTAATTAAAAAGGAAGAATTCTTTTTTCCCATTGTTTTTGTCTATTTCCACAGCTAAAAAAGAAAAAATGTTTTAAAAACAATAAATTTCATAAAATTAGTATTTTTCATTTTCCCATTGTTTTCAAGTTTTTGCCGACAGTTAAAAAAAGAATTGTTTTTTAATTCTATAAATTTTATAGAAAGAGGAGAATTTTCAATTTTCCAATTTCTTTTCAAGTTTTAGCCCAAGTAGTTAAAAAAATAATTTTTGTTTAATCTATAAATTTTATTAACAAAGAGAATTTTCCCTTTTGCCATTGTTTTCAAGTTTTTGTCCACGCAGTTGATAAAAGTAAATTTTTTTTTTAAATAATATACTTCATTAAAAGGAAGAATTTTCTTTTTTCCATTGTTTTCAAGTTTTTGCCCACAGCTAAAAAAAGGAAAAATGTTTTAAAACAATAAATTTCATAAAATTAGTATTTTTTCTTTTCTATATATTGTTTTTAAGTTTTTGACCACAGCAAAAAAGAAGTAAAATGTTTTGAAAACAAATAAGTTTCATAGAATGAGTATTTTTTCTTTTCTATATTGTTTTTAAGTTTTTGTCAACAGCTAAAAAAAGAAGAATAATTTAAAAACAAATAAATTTCATATAATGAGTATTTTCTCTTTTCTATATTGTTTTTAAGTTTTTCCCACAGATAAAAAAAGAAAAATTATTTAAATTAAATATCTATAAATTTTATAAAAGGAGGAAAATTTTCCATTTCTCCATTGTTTTCAAGTTTTTATCCAAGTAGTTAAAAAAATAAATTTTTTTTTTTAATCTATGAATTTTATTAAAAAAGATAATTCTCCCTTTCGTCATTGTTTTCAACTTTTTGCCCACGCTCTCTAAATATGAATTAGTAAAAATGTTTACTAATTCGAATTAGTGACTCACTTTTTGCTTTTGAATTAGTAAATAGCAAATAGTTTTACTAATAAATAGTAATTTCTAATAATTTATTAGTAAAACTATTTGCTATTTACTAATTCAAAAGCAAAAAGTCAGTTACTAATTGAAATTGGTAAACATTTTTACTAATTCATATTTAGAGATAGCGCAGTTAGAAAGAGAAAATTTTTTTCTTAAAAACGATAAACTTCATTAAAGGATACAATTTTTTTTCATTTTACATTGGGAATGAAATTGTTCTAAATTTTTTTCTCCCGGATTAAAATTCACTAAATTATTTACCAAAAATTAAAAGATATTTCTCGACGTATTAATTTTTCAATTGCACATTTGAAACCAATCATTGAGGGAAGGGGGGGGGGAATTTTTTCTCCTCTTTTTTTCACAATCTGAGCGCATAAACGGTTGTAAAAGGATTATTGCGAGGTGCATTTGAACTAGAAATTCGTTTGAATCGAGTCGACGCCTTTTTTTCGGAATGCGCTTGGCTACACATACTCCAGTGTCATGTGACGTTGATACGTCGAGCGTCGACTGACCCGTAAAACATTTGGAATTACGAAACGATAAAACGACGACTATATCTCGCCTCCACTCACACACACACACACACACAAATATATATGTATACAGATCCAGTAAAGTATACCGGCGACAAGAAGCCGTAGATGCATTGCTTCCATCGCCAATTTACTCTCAGAGAATTTCTGTGTATGGTACACTCGCACATGGATGTATAAGATATATACAGATAAACACTAGTGTGTGTATATATATTCTCTCTCTCTCTCTTAAATATAAAAATAGAGAGAGAGATCGAAACACACACATATACTTTTGGTTGTAAACACACAGGAAGAATTTATAAATGTGTATATTATATATAGTAGTAGTTTCCGTACATATACAGACATTTATTTTTGAACACACACATATATAAATTCTTCGAGTGTATTTACTACCAAAAAGTGTGTGTGTGTGTGTGTATGTGTTTCGACACTTTGCGCGCGAGAGCCTAGTATAACACAAAACGTTACGATCTCTAGGACGCGGTAGCGAACAATTAACGGAGGTTTACGCCCCATCAAGAACCTCGAAAGCTTTCTTTAATCGCACCAAATGTATTGCTTTCTTTTCCTCTTTTCTTGTCTCTCCTTGTCTTTTGGACAAGGCAGACGATACTCGACATATAGTGCACACTCGGTTTGTATTACATTTTACCCGTTAAAACGCCATCTTTTGAATCACCTATCCATATAATCCTTCCATTTCTCCTTTTATTACATCGCTTCAATATCCTACCACCTTTCTTGACTGTCTTTCCTTTCTCTTGCACTTTCCGCTTCTCTTTATCTTTCGCTAGCTTTCTTCCTCTTTTTTTTTAGTAATTTAAACACCTCGAACCTCAATTTTTGGTGCTAATTTTTCTTTCATTAAGGGCATTTGAAACTTGATGACGTCACACATGCTTTGCACAAACTGAAACGTCATCAAGGTTCAAATGCCCTTAATACAGAATCTTATATTTATGATGATCTATTTTATTAATATTGACCTAAAAATTAATTACTGAAATTAGTTAAGATTATTGTTTATATTAGGAATTGTTACTTTTTTTACCTAAATTTATAAAATAAGATTTAAGACCTGTTACTGATTCAAACTTAAAAGTTGATTATAAATAATTTAAAATCAACCATAAATTATGTTTGAATTAAATATATATTATTTCTATAAATGAACCAGAAACTATGTTTTCATTAAACTTAAATTTGTTTGACTGTATAGCAAAGATATTTTAAGTTTGATTTAAACAAAATTTCTTTGAATCAAATAAATCCTTTTCTCAGTGTAATATTAATTTTATTTTTATTGTTAATTATTAATTTATTAATTTTATATTTATTTTTATTTTTATTGGATGTCGAAGAAGTAATATTAAGTAACTAGCTAAAAGAATGCTCGTGTGGTTTATTTTTGTATGGTTCATAAACAGACTTAAAAAAATTTTTCATTATCATATTAAATTATATTTTGAACATAAAAGTAAAAATATTATAAGCAAAAAAATTTTAAATGCACACATATGAGAAATATTGAAAAAAAACAAAAGCATACAAAAAAGCAATTAATTAATTAATTGAATTTTCAAAGAGTTGCGTTAACAAGTTTCATAAATATAGATGAATATTGTAATTTTATAAAATTTCAATTTTCAATTTCATGAGAATTTTTAAGGATTACTTAGGTTTTTAAAAATTTTATTAATTCAAATTCTTCTGAAATTTGTTAAATTTTTTAATATATATTTAATTACCTATTAAAAATAATGGATTTATAGACGAATTTTACTCAAAAACACTAAAAAATATTTAATTTTGGAAAAATTATAGGAAATGATTGCATA